CGGCACAATAATGCCATTAATCATAAAGCAATTGGCAATAGGCAATGCAAATTTCTGCTTGCAGCCATCCGGTGTTACAAATCCCTCGCCTGAGTTTCGCTGTAGAATTATAAAGTATGCTACGTTATAAATTGTTCGTTGTCTATATCCTAGGGTGTTGCAAACGAAATAAAAAATGTATTATAACTAACGTTCATTAATATATCAGCGCATATTAGAGCTTTTTTTTTTTACGAATATGGCAACACAGTGTCTTGCCTGAGTTCCTTTAGACTTTCTCCATTTCTATAATTGGTTATATGACATTAAAACAAATTATATTTCTTGACAGTCAATTACCATAATGTAAATAGAAGGAACGGAACAGCTATTTTACGAATTGAAACTTTGAAGCGTTTAATAAGCGCGACAGCCAAAAGCAGAAGGTTTGTTTCCAAAAACAGTGAAATGAAAACTAAGAATACTTATAACATGCATCTTTTTTTACAGCCTGACGAGGAATTTCAGTTACTGGAAATATCGTGGTGTACTTTAATTGGCAATTGGCTTTATTTGATTGTTTGTGTATGCGTTGCTGTTTGCGTTCTGTGCTTTGTATGTTTTGTTTAGAATTTTTAATTCTCTGCCGTTCACTTTCCTTGTATCTCTTCATGTTTTTCTTTCTCTCATTTATTATTTTTGTCGTAAGCTATACAGGCAAACCTGTTTTTGTGCGGTAGATAGGGACCGCAGAAAAAAACCGCACAAAAAAATATATTCAAAAACTTCATAAATAGCTATAAGAAATAATTTTTCACAGCATATTGAAGAAAATTTTTTTTATGCGGTAGAGAGGGACCGCATAAAAAAGTCTCACTTAGAAAATATGTCAAAGCTTCACGAAATAGCAAGAAAGTGCTTTCCAAGCAAAATTAATAAATAAATTACACATTGGAACATTTAAAAAAATTTTAATTTCTAATTTTAAACAAGGAGAAATTTTCAAAATGTACATAATTCAATACTACTCGTCGTAGTTCAAAACGCGCATATTTTTGCGATGAACTGGTTCGTAATCGCTTTCGTCACTTGAAGATACTACAGTTGATTTATTTTTTGTTAACATGTAGTCGGTGATAAGTTTTTGCGACGACGGTCGTTTGGTCAGCTGTTTGTAAACGTCGCGATAGCCAGATATACACAATCGGGAATTTCAAACTTCTTTGAGAATTGTTATCTATTTTAAGAAAATGCTTTTCCAATTTGCTGCAAAGCTGGATCCCTGCATATATTTTATCCGCTGTAATAGATTCCGGTTCTTCTTGTCCGTCTTCATGATCTGTTAAGTTATTGATAATGTCACTATCATTGATCATTGATCACTGATAGCAAAAAAAGTGATGCCAACACAGTTCAGATTGATCTAACCTCTCGGCGAAATTCAATGTGTCGATATTCATATACCGCACAAAAAAAAAATCGCACAAAAAGAATCGCCCAAAAAAAAGCGCATAAAAAAAGACCGCACAAAAACAGATTTGACTGTACTATTTTTGTCGTAAGCT